AGTGAGCACAGAGTGAGGGGCAGTGAGCACAGAGTGAGCACAGAGTGAGGGGCAGTGAGCACAGAGTAGCAAACTGAGCTTAGGACAGTGAGCGCTCCTCCAGAACGCTCCTCAGGGCAGCAAAGGTTCCAGTGTCTTATCCTTGGGGACAGCTTTGGAGTATCAGGGGCCAAAGAGACTTGACATCAGATCTTTGTCCTGTACTAAGGCAAAAAGGCACTAAACCAAAATGCTTTTTGCGAGTGGGATTTTTCAAAGAGGTGAGGAGTAACTTGAATTGAACCAGAATGGAATCTGCTCTACAAGTCAGGTGAGAGGGTGTGCACACTGCTGTGTGAGGTGAGCTCATTTCCATGTGGTCAGTTCACCTGTTTCAAGTGATAGCCTTTTTTTCATCCTCTCATTCCTGCTACTTCTCTTTCCAGGAACCGTGATTTTGACCTGTGGCATTTTGTGTTGAGGTTGTTCACATCAGAGTGCTGACAGCAGTCCTCATTCATTCCTTTTAAAGTGGTAGAGAGTTTGTCTGGTTTTCATGCAAAGTTTTTATTATTTTTGTCTCATGTGCTTTTAAGTTTATTATTAAAATGTGTCCACAGAAATATGATTTTTATTTCACATGAAAGTCAAGGTTTGAACCTCAAGAGAATGAGACTGTCAGCAAATCACTTAACTTGATCTTGTTGCAAGATGAACATATTTATTATTTTGTTTATGAAACTCCCACAGTAGGCCTATCCATAATTATAACCACGTCTGCTTTCTTCCATCGTGTTTTTGTTTAGGTAGGTCTGTGATCCACCAGCTGGTATCATAAAACACCCTAGAAAGTTACAGTCTCCTATCTGCTGTGACAAATGCCCGGGGAAACTGGTATTTCTTGCATCAATCTGGGTGTTAGTCCCACAAATGTGAATCCCTTTCTGAATACTCTGTGCATCTTGAGGGAGCAGAGCAGGTGAGGGGGCCGTCCAGGACCCGCATGGAAGTCACACCAAAGAAAACCAGCATTCTCACTGTGATGTGAAGAGTTTCTATATCCCTAAGTCATTAAAACTTACCTACTTCTTCCTTAAACATCTTAAGATCATTGCTAGAACTTTCTCAACATCCCTTATTTCATCTCTGTGTGTGTGATAATCAGAGAGGTGTGCTTGTATGCACTGTCTTGCTTTCTCTCTCTCTCTCTCTATATATATATATATATAGAGAGAGAGAGAGAGAGACATAAAATTAAAAAAAAAAATTGATACCTGCACCTGAATTGGATTATGAGGTCCCAGAATAAGTCTTTTAACTACTATTATGATATTTTCACAGTTAATGTTCATCAAGCATAGAACTGTTGCCCGTTTAATCAGAGTATTTGTGGTCTCAGGGAGAGAAGGCACGTGTTGTTTCTAATCCTTTTATGGTCAGGCTCACATATTCCAAATGCTTTATGAATGTTAAAAGCAGAAGTTTCTGCAGGAGCTCAGAGGGGGCGCTATGGATGTTCACTGATGCATCAGACAAGGACTTGGTGAGTGGCTGTGCAGACACTGGGGCCAGTGACGTGTCCTCAGAGAGTGCACAGCCTGGTGCAGGTGGGAGACACACAAGGAAGTGAGTAATCAGAGGACGAGGTGCATGTGCTGTTTCTGAGCACTTTGTGTCAAATAAGGAGCTAAAGTGTCAGTAACACTGAAGTCCAATCTCAAAGATTCTTCTATGAATGGAGAGCGTTCCAGACAAAGGGAGCTTGGTGGTGTCGGGAGGTAATGAGAATCAGGGAGGGACAGCAGGACGCTCACAGTAAGGAGAGCTGGGGGAGCTGCCTCTTCCCTCCCTGTTACCTTCTGAGTTTTCTGATGTCCTCCATCCCTCCCTGGGTGCAACACAGCCATTGCGTGAACCTTCCTCTCAGTCTTATAATATTCTTCTGTAGGAACTAGAACAAAAAATTATTTGTGAAGCCTCTTCAAAAAGCATACATAATAGATATACTATGTATATTATCATATAATAGATAAATAATAAGAGTGCCCGGTATGTGCCTTGCCTTACAACTATGGTTCTAGGAGGTATCGTAACTGGCACTTGGTCCAGTGCACGAGTGGGGCTGCTTCGTGCTCAGCCGCTGAGCCCGTCTGCTGAAGTGCTCATGAGCCAGAGCACAGGGACTGTCACATTCATGAAACTGTGGATGAGGAAAAGAGGAGGACTCCTAGTGTGAGGATTACAGAATACCGAAGATTCTCTGTTCTCACCAGAATCCAACATGGTTCCCGGCATCCTCGGCTCTCTTTTCTGGCAGGTCTGTCCAGGTGCCCATTCTAATTGCACCTACCCCTGCGTCTGGTAAGGGGAATTGGGCTAGTTGTGATGAGACTCTTCAGTTACATCTTTGTGGTAAGATCACAGAGTCGACATAGGCTAATATCAGGCTTTTGGGGAGACTAAGATTTTTTTTAAACGTTGGGATTCACCCCCTCATTATTTGCTACGGTCCTATGTTTCCCTTTCATTCTTCTCTGACCTAGTATGAAAGTCAGTGCTGGGAACGACATCAGCTCTGGGACTCAGACTTGGTGTTTTCAGATGATGAGACCAGTTTGAGGAAGGAGAGTGTAACTGGGGGAGTTGTGGCATGAATGTGACATGTGCGTGTCAAAGGCAGTGCAGAGACCTCAGATGGGCCTTTTACTGCATAGAATTACCACAACCTGAACTAGGAACTCATTCGAAAACCAGACTCTAAAAGGGCTGGGGAGAAGAGACAAGCATGTCCTTCGTACGTCTTCAGGACCTGGGGCAGGCTCCGGGATCCCACGGCGTGTTCACTCTGGTTGGCCCCAGGTTAACGGCTTCTGCCTCTCCTAACATTCCTGAGAATGCCTCACCTAGACAAGCACCAGGCAGTAAGCAGTCACTGCATAACACACCTCAGTGCTCAGAACAGAGGAGGCATTTTGAGTTACAGCAAAGCAAGGTAACCTCACTAAAAGGGGGGTGCTTATTTTTGACTGCAAACAAGATATATTTAGAAATTTAGTGGCCAAATTTTACAAAGAAAATCTCCCTCTAAAGATTGCAAAGAAGACACAGAAAAGTAAGGCCTTGAAGAGAGGCAGCATAACATAGCAGGTATCTTTGTCTAGGCTGCTAGAACAAAATACTGGGTGGTTTATAAACACAGAAATGTATGGCTCATGGTTCAAGGAGCTGGGAAATCCAAGATGGAGGCTCTGGCGGCGTCTTTGTCTGGAGAGGGTCGTAGAAGGCTGTCATCTTGCTGCGTCC